ACCATGTCCTGACTGCTAGAAAAATGCTTTGGAACATGTGGTTGCTTTGTGCTCTTTAGTATAGTTACTGGGATAGGCAGGGAAACAGATTAGAAAATGCTTGGGAGTCTTTCTTCTGCTCCTGGGGTTTCCGACGGAACAAAACGTCCTTTGGGTGCACTCAGAGCAACAGGCCAGCAAAGAGGGACACACCAAACAATGAATAACTAGTACAAGGCAAACATTCCACAAGTACTGAGGGTTTTCACTTTCCAACAATAATTAAACCAAATCAGCTCATTATGAGACAGGGGTGAAGTCAAGGAGTGAGCAGACGGTGCTGTGTGGCCAGCCGGGCTGTCTGGCTGGAGGCTACTGCCCAGCCAGCAGCTCAAAGCGTGAGAGGCCATGCTCAGCTGCTCACACGCTCTCTCCCTCCCTCCCTCTCTCTCTCTCTCTCTCTCTCTCTCTCTTTCTCTTTCTCTCTCTCTCTCTCACACACACATACACACACACACTCATTGAGCTCCAGCTTTTAATGGCACTCTGAGTATTATCCTCTTGCCAGAAAATTAGGGAAAGGGGGACATGAGTAAGAGGGAGCTTTGAATGACTTAGGACAAAAGAAGGACTGGGTTAGTGTGAATTCCGTAAATAAACTATTGTGTGATAGGAGAGGAGGAGAGGAGAAAAATCTTGATTCACTGTGAATTTTACTTCTAAAGTAGGACACTGCCAATACATTTTAAAGTTAATGTACAGTTCATTTTGGAGTGTAGAGTAGAATTTTGTGGCTCCGTAAAGTAATTCTAATACTTAAAACTAACCGAGGGGGGTGGATGGGGACTGTTCTTGATCAATGGCATTCAGCACTTTATCCTTTTTAATAACTGTGCTGGGATAGCAGATCGACCTGGTGAAATCCTTCCTTGCTGGAACGGTGTGGATTTGAATCGCTGTGTGATGGAGTAGTGGTGAAAACACCACTTGGTTATTTAGGAACCAAGGACTTTATGGGCTGTGTGTATATTTAAGACTGAACAAGCTCCTTAGACTTTTGTCTTGGCTTTGTGCTAGAAATTCAGCTACACATTAGGACATTGTGTTTTAAAGATCAATTACGTTAACATTGCTGCAGCTAATCCTGAAAAGCTATTTAATTCTTGAATACATCATTTTCCTGAGAAAGCCCTCTGGATACTGTGTGAATTTAAGAAAGAGTAAAACATCTTAATTTATGAGAAACAAGACACAGACTGCTGCAGTTGGCTGAAGGATGAGAATTCCAAAAAGATGGATGGGTTTATTTTACATTTGCAAAGTAATCATCACTAAGACTTTGGAGGGGGTTCCTTGGATTTGTTATTCTAGCCAAACTAGGAAAGATGTCCAGAAGATAGACTTTGGGAGGCAATAAGAAAACACAACGAAACAGACTTCTCTGTGCTCTGTCCCTTCAGAAATGGAGCTTTTGACTGTGCTGGTGTAACTGCTTCTAACTTGCATGTGTCAGAGATTCCTCGTTAGGGAACTAAGCAAAAATGACCTCATAATGCTGTTGTGAGGATAAAGGGAGTTGATATATCTATATATAAGGCATGTAGGAAAGTGCCAGGCACACAGCAGCACTCAATAAATCCAGCTATTCTTCTCATTACTTTATTTAAATACTGCCAAGGCTTAAGAGAGTCTTCCTAAAAAGAAATAAGCGCTTTTCATTCCACAGTTCGTTTTCATTTGACATCTAGGAGTAGAACCAGGAATACAGTCCATTTTCCAGACATCTTTCCTAGTTTAGCTAGAATAACTAATGTGTCATCAACATTCTGAAGCTGTTTTCTCAGCTGTAAAATGCTACTTGTCTGATTTATTGATTACTCTGATGCCCCAGTAAAGTGAAATGCATGAAGGCACGTGGAATATTTCGTAAAGCACCAGCAGGGTATGTTCCAGAAATGTGGTCCTGGGAACGTAAGTCTGGATTCTCTCAAAAGAAGCTTATCACTCAAAATTCCAGGTCTTTACACTTAATAATCTATATATAAAAACCTTAGGTATGTTTTTTTTAATATCATCCATAATAATGACATGCTTTACTATAAAACTGTCTTGAATTCCAACTTGAGGCATACTTTTCAGAGATACTGGGACTGAAAAGAAAATGCCATCTAAGTTTATGGAAGGTCATAAATTCTTACTATCAGTATTACTAAGCCAGTAACCACAGCCATTTCGTTAACTACTAAATGCTTCACAACCTCTTTATGGAAGCCCTGCAGCACATTCCATAAGGTGGGGATACCAGTCCCATTTTGTAGGATGACTGTGGCATTCAAGTGACTCCAGTCCACAGTAAAATGTAAGAGTGAGCCCTAATGGTTTCTGTCTTTATCAAATCACACACTTAGGAAAACTAACAGGCCAAGAGGCTCCAAACTATGCTTTGATCTTTGGTAATGAAAGTGAAAAATTTTTATTAGACAGTAGGTCTTCACTATTCACTTCATTTTATCATGAAAAAAACTATCAATTTGGGGGACCAGAGATAGTATATCGGGTACGATATGCTTGCCTTGCATGCAGCCAATTGGGTTTAATTCCCCTGGCAAACCATGTGGTCCCCAAAGCACCGCCAGGAGTGATTCCTGAGTGCTGAGACAGGAGTAACCCCTGAGCATCGCTGGGTGTAACCCACAAACAAAACCAAAAAACCCCATATTTTGGAGGGCGAGGTTAGGGACTTATTTATTTGGAAAATAACACAATGCTCATGGGAAAAAAAGACCTGAAAAACAGAACTAAAATGAGTATCTGCAATTAGGCCTGAAACTCTTATTTTTCCAATTATTGAAAAAATAAGCAAAGAGTAACTTATCTCAGTGGTACTATTAGTCAAATGTATATTGGCCATAAGAGAAACTTATTTGAGAAGTTTTTGGTTGGTCTTTTCATCTGTGTATGTATAGATAAGTATATTTACAGATACTAATCCACACAAATTGAGCTTGGGAGAGACTGTGGTAAGACTACTAGTTTTCCGCAGGCCTGATTATTATTATTATAAATATATTAACAGAATGGTTAAAGAATTTTCTTTTAGTTACTGAACTCAGCCAAAGGTATAGTTAAGAGTCATTAGAGTACCAAATCTTCCCTTATGAATAGATTAAATATTTGCTTATGACAGCATATTCAAGATATGTACTTTCAGGGATCAAATCAATCTGAGTGTGGATTCAGAGAAACTCTCTATTTCTGAAATTATATCACAAAGATATCATTTTTGCGATATCTTTGGAGGAAAAATGACTGCCAAGCCAGGAGGATAATTTAGAGCCAAGACTGCAGGAATTATGCAAAAGTGTGTATGATAGCAAATTACTGGCATTTTGGTGACAGTGATTAAAATCTTTTTTAAGCTACCAGGGGTCATCATAATTTATGTAGGACAAGCAAAATTTTTTTAAACTAACATTACAGAACCAATATCACAGAAAACAGAGAAAACAGAAGGGAGACAAAAATTGAACCTTTAAAAAATAATAAATAAATAAACTCTAATCCATATAAATACCTTTAACGTAAAAGCAATACAGACTGGTGGTTGGGTAAGAATAAGAATGTTAAGAATGTAAGAACAAGATATAGTCAAGAAAAGTATAAGGTTTAAACTATCCTAAAATTCTTGTTCAGTCAAAGGGAATGTATTAAATTCTAAAATATACTTTTGATATATATATAATACAGAATGTATCTATATGCATGTTCATATATTAACAAATTATCTGGTATTTCTGAATTCGTATGTTAAAACAGTATAAACTTTTAGAGACCGGGAAGGTTTAGGACCTTAAATAAAAGATTAAACAAATATTCTCATCCTGTCCAACTGGAAATAAGGAGTACAATAAATCAAACTAGATATAAAGATGACTATGGTATGCTCTCCTCAAAGAGAATATTAATGTTATACATCCTTTTTTTTTCAATAGAACATACTTTCTGTTGAGAGAAAAGGTTTATGAGGTAATTACATATAACTTAAAATAGGAATTCTTTCAATTTTACATTAGTGCATCTCTTAAAAGTAGGTTTAGCAGGACACAAATGAACTTGGTCATAATATATGTATTTTCTTACTTCAGACGTTTAGGTAATTTAAATAAATGTAAAAAGTATGTCAAATCTATTTTAAAAAATTCAAGAGAATGGTAGAGATGATGGTGTCGGAAAATAACACTTGAGATTTAATACTGTGTGTGGAGAATGACTTTTACACCAGACTGTCTATAAATATTTATTGGGTAAATAAATATGGTTCACCTGGTGTTTTTAAAATCTTGTATGCTGACTAAATGATAAACATGAGGAATTAGTTCTAGTCAAAACAAGAGGCTTAAAAAAAAAGAAATTATGACAACAATAAGAGCCATCTTCTAGTGACTTTTGGGGTGGAGAATAAAGACCCTCAGCCATGCCCCCAAATAATATCATCAAATCACTGGATGTTTCAGCCTTATTATTTTAAAGAACACGATATCAAAATAAATCTCACTACCAATGGTAGAAAAATGTTCCACCCTGAAATTTGAAGGATTTTTTTTTAATTGTGAATTTTGAAATTTGAAACTTTGAAGGATTAAGGCTTTGATATGCACGGTCCTCCCGGTGTTCATCAATTTGCCCGAGCGGGCCCAGTAACGTCTCCATTGTGAGATTTGTTAGGAAAAAAGTGGGACCTCCCAGTGGTGCTCGAGATGCCTCCAGCCTATACTGAGCCTGGTGGTCAGGGGTGTTTGTTTGTGCCTGGCTGGCAAGGGTGCTGGCTTTACCTTGCCCGTGGACCCTTCAATGCACGGGGAACCTGTGGAGGCGGGAAGGGGGAGGACACGGTGGGATGGAAACGGGTGGACACACAAACTTTGGGGTGATAGTCCGGCCCTTTAAAGGGAACTTAAAAAAATCACAATGAATGATTGTGGTTTGGCATATCGAATATGTCACAGGATTTGCCGTGGGGCGAGATACTCTCGGTAGCTTGCTGGGCTCTTCAAAAGGGGCGGAGGAATCGAACTTGGGTTAGTCAGGTTGGCCGCATGCAAGGCAGCCTACACACTGTGCTATTGCTCCAGTCCCAAATACAGTAACAACAAAGTCTCACACTGGAGATGTTACTGAGACCGCTCGAGCAAACTGATGAACAACGGGAGCATAGTGCTACGGTGCAGATTGTGATTGAAATTCTAAATATGGGAACAACAAAAAGAAACAGAAATCCAGAAATCTGTACTGAATTCTTACAAGTAAAAAGTAGATTTTTAAAACAGCACACATGTTCATCAACATCATTTTTAACAATAACAATGAATTCATCACTTACTAGCATCATGGTAATGTGTCCCTGAGTCCCTTTGTCCTTGAAAGGCACGATATTTTGGGGGACTCATACATAATCTGGTAAAGACCGTTCATTCAGAAAATAGTTAAAATGTGAGTCTCTGTGTCCTAAACTCTATCTTTAATTTTTTTCTGTATTGAGTCATAAGGCATTACTAACGGTATGTTAGAATAGCAAATAACTTATCATAAAAATAGACTGAGATTCTCTTTTAAATAGACTTAACATTTTTTTGAAACTGTTTTTTTCTTTTTCTTTTTCTTTTGGCTTAAAGCAGACCTTGAATGCAAGTGTCCATCAACGTATGGAGTTAATCTTAGGCTAAAATTACTGTGAAATTTATACACTGAAGTGTGATGCTGGCTATTAATAAAAGTAGAAAAAGTGAGGTAAAATATTTGGTATCACTTTTGTTCAGTATCTGCTGTAAATCACTAGGTAATATACACCACAGTGTGTGTGTGTGTGTGTGTGTGTGTGTGTGTGTGTGTGTGTGTGTGTGTGTAGGGGTTATGTCGTGTGCCAATAGCAGCAGAGATTACATTAGCACGGTTCAAATGATGGGCAATGACTATCTGGCATGGGGCCAGGTGAAGTTGTTTGCTTGTAAGAAATAAGTAGGTGAGGAGCACGGCTTTATTTGAACCAGCTGCTGGAACTGAGCAACACATTTCTTGGTCTGCAGAAGCAGAAGCGCCATTTCTTTCCGTAAGTTAGAGGGCTGGGGAGTGAGGGTAGAGGCCAGGTGCTGTGGGTGGTGGGGCTGCTAGCGAGGGAGCTAAAACGCATACCTGAGCTCTGCAGGTGCTAGGCTGCCCTGCTGTGTATCAGTGATTTGCAAAGGCTGACGGAACGAGATTCCCTTCATCATACAGGCACTGCTGTCTGCGCTGCAGTAATAGAGAAGCACGCTGACCGATACGACGGCTTCAAGAGGTAAGCAAGTTCCAGGAAGCTCCAAGGAGATTGTTGGTTGATTGGAAAGGTCCTCAATTTCCCCGGAAGTGGTCTGTCCTTGGAGAAGCCATTCGTTGCCTAGAAAGTAAAAATGTAGTAAGGCTGTGAAAAGCAGGTAGGAGAGGAGAGAACTAGTGAGAAGACTAGCTTCATCCCCCACCAAACGTTTACTGGACGCCCTCCATGCCAGGCCTTGTGCTGCGTGTGAAGGATCTACGTTTCATCAGGCAATGCTCCTCGCCTAACGCTGCTGACCGCAAAGCATTAAAACCTCCTCTTTGCTTGAATATTATAAAATGTGTCATCGTTTCTCTGGAAATCAAGCTGAACATTGAATTAGGATTAAAACCGGAGGAGAGGGCATACCTGGCAATGCTCAGGGGCCAGTTCTAGTTTGATCCTTGGGTGCTGCTCCTGGCAGTTTGAGGGTGGGGGAGAGAGTCTCTATGGGGCTTTCAGCAAGTAAAGCTGTGCTCAGCCTGCTGAGCGCTCTCTGGCCCTGTTACATATTCTTTTTTCTCTCTTTCTTTCCCAGTTTCCCTGCTCTACCTTCCCTTTCCTCGCTCCACCCACTTATAAACCCCTTACTTCTAAAGTTAAAATGAAATCTATTAAATTCTTAACATCATCCGGCTTTTCTTTAAATTTTTTTTTCCTGGCTGAGTCAACCTACTCAGAACATCTGCCTCTCTACCGCTCTGCTCCATCTCTCCTTTTATTTACTACCTCTAAGACTCTGTGGTTTAAGGAAGAGTTAGATTTGGGGAAAATATGTGAAACAGGAGTATGAGGGTGAACAGCGAGGCTCTAGAGAGCTACGTGCGGAATATTTCTGCAGTAGCTTCACTTTTCTTCACAGTTCTTGGCTCGTTTCTAGGCTAAGGAATATTAATTAATCTTTGGTTTTATTACGTCACATTTTAGTAGGGAACTTATTATATTTCAACTCAAAACAGGAAAATAAAAACTATACAACGTTAATGCTTAATTCTCTATGGAAAACAGAAAGATGTTCCTTTAGAAATAGTTCAGATTCATTACATTTGCCAGTGTGACTCATCTGTTAATAATTTCTTTGGCTTAAAACCTTTACATGAAAAGGTCATTCTAAGATTTAAAGTTTTTTTCCATCTTTAAATAACCAGACAGGGAGAAATAAACTGTCCTTTAATCACAGGTCGACAAATTGTCCTAATACAATAACTGTCAAAAACCTTGAACTGTTAGGGATTCTTCCCTGAAAGTTTATTGGTCCTTACATAAGAAAAAAAAAGGGGGGGGAGGGGGGCTGATATCCTCAACAAATGATAAAACAGCTAAGAATATTCTCTAGCGACTATGTCACTTTTCCTTAATACTATCTGCATTTTGTAGTCCAAAGACTCAACAGACTTATGCGTTTGAGAGTTGGGTATGTGAATTTGTCAACATGCAATTAAAAAAAATCAATGCACAGTTTTAAAAATCGATATTAGTTAACATGCACAGAGAAATTAAATTAGCAGCACTCTTCCCCCGATGTTCATGGATAAAAGACACAGACACTCGCTGCAGTGAAACTCCAGGGGACGGGACTGCTCAGGACCCAAGACGTCTGGCCACATGGACGGCTCTTCGCGTCTGCCAAGGAATGCCTGGTGCAGCCTTGGGACTGGAGGTGGCGTGGCCACAAGCTCAGTCCCCACCAGGGCAGGCCCCACCCGAGATCACTCTGGTCCCTTGACGTGGACCCTGAGACGGGGCCGCAGGAGTGGAGGCGCTGCCGTGAGAACGGGCGAAGGTGAGGAGGCAGACGAGCGGGACCCGGGGAACGTGGCAGAGACAAGTGTGTGAGAGGGTACGAGGAGAAGTCAGGGAGGAAATGGGAGATTGAGTGAGAAGATGTGAAAGAGCGTGGGAGACTAGTGGGGGGGTGGGGAAGACCCTGAAAGACAAGAAGTCGGGATCTCGTCCGGCCACGAACGCCACAATCTAAACTGGTCCACTTTATTAGAGATATTCGAAAGCACTGCTCTAGGGAAAGCAGTAAGCCGATTCCTTTTTGTCAACTCATAAAAGAGCTGAGTTCATACTGTGATTCAGACATACACACACACACACACACACACACACACACACTTAAAATCTTTACATAATTTACAGTAACTGAATACTTTTGAGAATAGCCTCAAACAGGAAGTACTTGTAGATTAAAAGATGGCAAATTAGTGAGTGAGGACAAAGGCGCTGCTTTGGATGCAGCCCATACTAATTCATTTGTATTCAATTACATATCCTTCAACAATGTTTTATTCTTCTAGTTCAATGGCAAACTCTGAAGCTATGGTCTGGCACCCAGTTTCTTGTAGTAAGCAAGTAATGGGACTTAAATTCTATGCCTGGCATCTCTAAAAAAGAAAATACAGCTCCGGGCTTAAGAACTGGTAAATCAAGTCTTAATGATACCACTGAAATAAAAATAAACAGAAATTGAAAGGTCTAAGGCATTTATTTGGTAGATGCCATGTGGAAAAAAAGTAAAATGCCACTTAAAATAAAAGCTCCAAAGAACCGAACTGGAAAGAGCCAATGTCAAGTTTCTTTGGCAAAAAAGAAAATGGTGTTTGTTTTATTGTTCTTTAAAAATATATATACTGAAAGGGAAGAGTCAATGTAATTCTTTAGAAAAGAATCTATGAAATTTATGCCACTTGATTAATGCGGAAGGTATAGTGGTAAATACAATTAAAACGGAACTAGGCAACAGCCAGTGCTAGCAGGGATGTGGTCCAAGTAAAGGAACTTTCATCCACTGGCGGTGGCACTGTAAGATGGTTCAACCTCTGGAGAAGACGGTGGAGACGTCCCAAACAATCAAGACTGACGTTTCCACCTGCCCCTGAGGTTCCACTTCTGGGCATCCCCCTCAAGAACAGAAAACCATTAATTTGAAAGGACCTGCGCACAGCTGTGTTCACCACGGCATTATTTAAAACAGCCAAGGCCTGGAAACAACAGATAAGCAGATCAAGAAACTGCGGCCTCTGTCCACCATGGAACACAATTCAGCTAGGAGAAAAGACCAACTTTTGCAGTTTGCTACGACCGAGACGGAAAAGTCAGGCTAAGTGAAGTGAGCCTGAAAGAAAGATACAAAACAAGCATGGGATTAATCCCACTCCTATGTGGAGGATAAAGAAACAAAGCGCAGGGCTGACAAGTCCCCACGGGTACAAATCCTGTGACTTGACCACCAGAACTGGGGACGGAAGAGGCTAAGGACACGGGCAGGAAGAGCCCTTGGGGGGTCAGCAGCAGTGCCAACATACAACGAGGATAGCAACACTACTGTCAACTAGGACACCTCAAGCAAAACGATTGGGACGGAGAAAAGAAATCTCTGCAGCATTTTAATTGGGGGGAAGCAAGGGACGGTTTGTTTTACCCAACGGAAGCAAGTGAAAGGGGAGCAAGTGAAAGGGGGAATTTCTGGGCTGGACCTGGATGCATTTTCTTCCTTTGTCAAAAGGTTAAATGAATGACATATTCTTCAACACTTCAAACAACAACCAAACAAGCAGAACTTGGACCAGGACCCCAGAGTGCTGACTGACCACGGTCTCTGCAAGCCCACACACTGTGCCGATGCCCCTCGGGCCACAGCAGAGAGGAGCAGCCCACAACGTTCACCTGATGGCCGGCTCGCAGGCCTCTCCTGCCACCCTCTCCTTCCTCTTCTTACTAGGCTTCTGCTTTTCTATGCAAGGGTTGGGGACTGAGCTCCAGGCCTGATATATGCAAGGCAAGTGCCCAACCCTGGAGCTAAATGCCTGGGCCCTGAACCTTCCTTCGCTCTTTGGACCTTCTCCAAGACTCTCTCTCTCTCCTCTCTCTCTCTCTCTCTCTCTCTCTCTCTCTCTCTCTCTCTCTCTCTCTCTCTCTCTCTCTCCCCCTCCCACCCCTCTCCCTTATATCCTCCCCCTCTCTCCCTCTGCTGATGGCCTTATTTCTGGCTGTATGAAAAAAAAAAGGTATTCAGGAAGAGCTTCCGGGAACTCCTGCTTAGACTTCTGAATGACACCCCAGCCTCCCTCCTGTCACAGGCTGCCCACATGCCGACAGACCAGCCATCCCTGGTACAAACAGTCATCTTCTCTCGTGTTCTAAAAGATCCCCACCCCTACCACCTACCATAGCTTCTTTTCTCTACTGGACCTTGGCCATCAAAGTAACCCATATGCTGGTCTCCCAATTCCATTTTTCTCCTTTTAGCAACTGCTCTATTTTCTCCTTTTAGCTAAACTGAAAGAGTTGTCTCTGCTGTCTTTAGTTCTGCTTCTTATATTCTATTTAAAAAAAAAACCCAACAAAACCCAAACCTTAAATAGGTATTTCCTCCATTCCACTCAAGTTCTAGTTGAGGACATCAATGAACAATGCCATTAAATCAATGATGGATTCTTAGTCCTTCTCTAACTTGATCTACCATTAACACCCAACACATCTGGGCACTCGTTCCTTAAACACTGGTGCTAAGACATTCCAGGAAAACTATACTGTCTTGGCTTTGCTCCTTGCATACTCATTCTCTCGTTTTCTTCTCCTTGCTCTCTCAACTTGGAGTAATCTACGACAGACTACTCAAGGCAGAGTCTGTAGCCGAGCTAAGCACAGAAACTCATCAAAAGGTTTAGAAACGTTAGTGACATTCGGCTGTATCATCAGTAGCTGTGCATTTCATATGCCACTAAAAATAATTTGATTTTTAGGATTAACACAATTCTAGAGATTGTTTGAGATGGAGGCACTGTGGCCCTGCACTATACTCCTGTTGTTCATTGATTTGCTTGAGCGGGCACCAAATTGTGAGACTTGCTGTTATATTTTTGGCACATCGAATATGTCACGGAGAGCTTGCCAGGCTTAGCCGTGCGGGCAAGATACTCTCAGTAGCTTGCCAGGCTCTCCGAGAGGGATGGAGGAATCGAACCCGGGTCGGCCGTGTGCAAGGCAAACACCCTACCCGCTGTGCTATCGCTCCAGCCCAAATAGAAATAATAGAAAACTCGATGAACCAAGAACTAGCAGAAAAACGGGTTCTAATTCCATTTTTTCACTAAATTCAGGATATGCATGTGGGTAAATCACAATCTATCTGAGTCATTAAATAAAGGATTCTGAATAGGGTCTTTTGGTCCTTTTAGCTCTAATATTCAAGTTGCAATCATTCTGTAATAGCAACATTCTTCATCCCATACTGAACTTGTCTAGGGAACCCCAGATTAACACTGGGGTGACCTACACTGCTCTTTAATAAAATCAGAAAGAATTTCAGAGAGTAAAGAAAAGAACTAACGTGAGGGGTTAAATCTGCACCAATATTTTTTTTTCCCACTTCCTTAAAGTGCTGTCAAGCTACAGAGTAAATATATCACATAACAAATGAGAATAAACATCAAGAACTTAAAGAATTCTTACAGAGTCTGTCTCATACCTTCAGCGTTTAGAAACCAGCAACTGGGGACTCCTTCGGTTAGCTTTGTCCCCTCGGGGAGGCCGAGGCTCAGCTTGAACTGAAGTGTCTGGCCCGGAGTTGCAGCCACGGGGGAAAGCGTAATGCTTGGAGCAGATTTAGGTAGTTTGGGCAATGTCTTTGGTTTTCCTACTGCTAACGGGCCATCTACTGTGACGTTTTCAGATTTGAAAACCGGAAGCTAGGAAATTAAAAAAAAAAGTTTATGAAAACATAAGTACTTGACGGTAAAGAGATTTTTTTTTTAAGATATTAATAGAAAAGCGAGGTTTGTGCCAATGAAACTTAGCTGTCATTCTAGCCTGAATTAAACTACATGGAAATGTCCTCGTGATTATTTTGTGGATTGAGAAAAATTATTTCCTGGACAAAGGTGAGATATTAAGACATGGACTAAAAATTCTGTTAGAGGACATGTCCTTTTCTTTAAACGCTGACAAGAACACGTACTTAAGCTTCTTTCAAGTGTGTTTTCCCTGGCTCAAGAAAATGTGGCTTCTAAAGCTTCTTTGGGAATTTCCTTAGGTAGAAGCTTCACCGTAGGAAACAAAGGCTGCACATCCAGGGTGGGGAGGGTTGGGGGGAGGAAAAAACCCACCCCATCACACGGCATGAGTCACCGTGTGCGTGGATTTGTGTGCATTTAGAAACAGATCTCTTCTTTTTCTCCAGAAAGTTCAGATTCTCTCCAGCTTCCAGAACCTTTCTCAATTTCTTGACACCAATGAACGCTTTATTGTATAGACAAAACCGCCTGGAAGGAGGCTCTGAAATATCCCTGCCCACCTGTCACCCCAGCGAAGCCCTGTCCAGGTATTCCTGCCCTGCTATGTGGCTGTCAGCATCCCTCTTAAAAGGACACCCTGTAACTAAGATTACTCACCACAAACAGGGTTTTTGTTTCCAAATCCATCACTTTAATCTGGTGGTTGTTGGTGTCTGCTACATACAGTAACTGACCATTCTCTCCGATACATAAGCCTCCAGGTTCATTAAAAGTTGACTCGGTGAAACAGGAGTGGATAACGTTACTGGCCTCTCCGGTTCCTGCCAATGTTGTACAGTTTTTTGTTTTTGGATCCACAACTTTAATCTAAAGGAGAAAAAAATGTATATACTTGAAGGTCAATCTTATGTTTGTGTAATGAAAAGTACACTATCAAGCCAGCTAGAGAATTTTGCATTCCTTATGAATCTCATAAAATTAGGCATTTCTGCATTTCTTAAAAAACACAAATTAAATTTATAGTCCAAGGGGAAAAGGATATCTTTTGAGAACAAAAAACTATGTAAAATGCTCTCCTAACACCTTTTTCTTCTAGAATCATCTTTGATGACATTATTTATGAAATTAAATCTTAATCTTTTTCTTTCATGATGGGACGCACTTTCACAGCTGAATTTTCTTTTGAAGAGCATCCAACATTGAGAATTTTCTGCTTATGCTGTTAAGCTTAATGATTTCTTGTTGTGTCTCCATCATGCTGACTTTATAATCTCTCGGCACAAAGCATTTTCCCCCCACTAATTATTTTTTAAAAAAGAAAAATGCAATCAAATGGATGGTTTAATAGTCAATGCATTAGAAACAAAACAGAAATGCTTCCCATAATGGATCTTCGAGCAAGTCATCATAATAGTCAAAAATGTTCACCTGTTGGTTGGCACACTAATTTCCCTGCTCCCTGCCTTCCCTTTCATTTACTGAATGCGCAGCTTTGAGAGGTTATAATTCACCGTCTGTAGCTACGGTGATTTGCAAATTTTGAATCCTTTGCCCGGCTGACGGTACCACCATCGTATCAGGAGGGAGCAAGCTTCTGGAGAGAGCTGTCAAAGCCTGTTATTCCTCTACTTCAGAGTGGCAGCTGGAGGAGGCTCACGAACGCATTTAGCATTTTAAATACACATATGGAAGAAAGGCGGGTGTCACACGATTCCGCCAAGACTCACCTTGTGATTATAAGAGTCAGCCACGTAAAGCAAATTCCTTTTGTTGTCCCAAGTGACTCCCAGTGGGTGCTGAAGCTTGGCATTGATTCCTACTCCATCAACATCACCAAAGGCAAAGAGATTCTGAAAAGAAGAAGAAAAGAATGAAAGAAAGCAAAGAAATAGCACGTGTGAGAAACTTTACAGGGTTTTCTAAGGGTGGAAGATCAAAGTTAAATGGCTGTGTATGTGACTAAAGGGGGAAGACGTGTCACCTTGTAAAACAGAGTAGGGCATTTGATTCAAATTAGGAAAAAAGTAACGATGGTGTTCTGGACCAGCATTAGGTTGTGGTGTTCGGTAGATGGATTCACAATAATTCGACATCTGCTCAGAAACAGGCCAAATCTGCTCGATAGCAAATACTGAATTCATATATATATATATATATATATTGCTTTTTGGGTCACACCCGGCGATGCTCAGGGGTTACTCCTGGCTCATGCACTCAGGAATTGCTCCTGGCGGTGCTCGGGGGACCATATGGGATGCTGGGAATCGAACCCGGGTCGGCCATGTTGGCTGCGTGCAAGGCAAACGCCCTACCCGCTGTGCTATCACTCTAGCCCCTGAATTCATATTTTTCTCTTCTCTTGGCAATGAACATTTATCCTCCCCTTTCTCTGAAGTCTCAACTGTGAGCGATGGTTAAGGATAAGGAGAGTAAATTCACTTTCGTCAGACGGTTCTCTTACTCGGGTTTCTGCATATTCCCGTTGCCTTTGATTGGATTTACTTTGAAATTCAAAGGAGCTTGCTCAGCTCCAAGTTTCTGGGCCGTGCCTATCCCTGACCACAACAAGCTGGCTCGGAGCTGGGCATGAGGGCAGAGAAGGGGGTCCCTTACCATGGGATCGCGCTCTCCGCCCACGAGGTGCCTGACGGCTCCATCCTTCAGGGAGACGGTTCTCACGGTGCTGCTCTCGCTGTCCGCCACAAACAGGCAGCTCCAGGGATCTTCGGAGGCCAGAGACAGGCCAGAAGGTTGGGCAAAGCCTGCCTTGTGAGGGTAAGCGTTGTTTCGATTCTCTTCATTCCCACTTCCAGCGAACCGGAGGCATGTGCCCTTCTTTAAATCGCTAAAAAGGTAAATTTCACACAGGGAGTCAACGTTGGTCTGGTTAAAGCAGCCGGGAAATGAACATCCAGGATGGTGTTGACCCTGGTAATCTGTGTCCGGTTTAGTTATTAAACAAGTGAAAGTGAATGAGAAACCCACAGGTGATTGCCAAAGGGGGAGGGAAATTGAATGATGGTGACCACTTAACTCAGCTAGTCAGTTTCACTGTGTTTTTTTCCACTCACTAATATATTTACTCACTATGTAGAAATCTTTCTCCTTTTTTTTTTTTTTTTTGGTTTGCTTTTGGGCCACACCTGGCAGTGGTCAGGCTCTGAGTTCAGGGATCACTCTTGGTGGCACCATATGAGGTGCCAGGAATTGAACTCATGCAAAGCAAGGGCCCTTCCTGCTGGACTAGCTTTCTGGTCCCCAAACCCTTCTACTTTTTTGGGGGGATAAATGGAAAACTGACATGTCTCAACGACCAGAAAGGAAACCCCGACAGGGTCGGGATGCTCAGAACAGTGGTTGTATCACTGACAGGAGATCTTTCACTTTTAGGTTGTGCATTAAGATGCCACGTCAACCTGACTTCTTTTCAGCTGCCATCTTAGGTCCTGAAAGGGGACTCAAGGGGATGCAGCTCCCGAGGGTTCCTGCTGCCAGGCTGCTGCCCTCCGTGCCAGCTACTAGCAGCGCCTCCTTCCCTGGCATGGCTCCTTGGTCTTATCCCACTGTACACATGGCCAGGAGTCTTTGAAAAACCCGGGAAACGAATCTTATCATGCAACTTCCTAGAAGCATGGAGGATAATGTTCAGATGCCTTCGAATGACTCACAGGGCACTTGGTGATCTGACTTCTACTGAGAACAGGAGCACCCCTCCTGGCTTGTCGAGCCTCCACTCTCTCTCCTGCCTCCTCCTCGACCCGCTTTTAGGTTCAAAGCTTCTTCCAGGAAGCTTCCCTTCTACCTCAGATCTCCACGGCACTGGGCGTCCCTCATTTTCATGAGGAAGTTTCCATGAAAGGACTAACGGAGGGGGCCCCTTCCCGCACAGACATTATACTGTCCAACAGAGTTCCGACACTGACGGATGCTTCTCCTGTCCCCCACTGAGGGCAGGAACCCCCTCTCTTCATTTCATTTCTGACACAGAAAGCTTATCATTTCATTCCCAGCACGGAGCGTGTTTAATAAAGAGCTGCGAGACAAATGACTAAATGCTAAGCCATCAGTGAGGGGCGGACACACCACCTGGAGTCTCTGGGATTCGACACCATGGCTGTCACTGCTCCTTTCCACTGGCAAAGGGTAACAGAGATGATGGCCATTCGCTGTCCGTGAGGGCTGTGCTCTCTGGCATCTGGCTGCCCCGCATTTGCTTATTCTGCTGACACACGGCACCAGGCACCAGCACGCAGGAATGACGAAGTAAAAGATTGTCCCTTTGCTGGGCGGTCAGATAGGAGGAAGCGTCAACAACCAAGGGTGCTCACAAAACAGAGGAGCTGTCACAAGGAGAGGAAGGGAACAGGGTGCGAGAGCAGCAAGGAGGGAGGGAGAGAATCAACTGCTGGTGGAGACTAGACGAGCTGCCAGCTCCCCCCAAAGCATCGAGCATCGGGAAGGTTGGCAGAGTTTCCCATGGTGGACAAGACTGCCCCCTGAGGGTGCTGGAACAATGGCCGAGGGTGCCAGGGGGTGTTGGGAGGGCCGGGGAGGGGGCTGACAGTAGCTTTGGGTGCAAATGTGGGGGTGAGGGTGGGGTTCTGTTCGTTAGCTGTAAGAAGGTGGGTTTCCAGGGAGGCACTGTGATTTTTTTGGTCCCCTGAGGAGGAAGCAGTGGGTGAAGTAACTGTGGAACCTCTGACCCCCAGCAAAGACTACGAGACCCGGCGGGGAAATGTTTCACCTGGTCTATCCCCACCAGGGGCTGCAAAGCTGCTGACTTGAGTTGCATGCATCATGCGTGTGTAAAATGGGCTTAGGAGATGGAAACAAGGAAGCGGGCTCAGAAGGTGCAGCGTGTCCCACGGCAGCTCCAGAGGCTGCGGCAGTGCCGGTTCCAGTCTCAGGCTGGACCAGACCACAGAAGCCAGCTCGGCACAACTTGCTCAGCAGTGCCCTGCGGCTGAGACGGAGAGTGGATGCACGGCCGAGGGGAGATAAGCGCCCCCAAAACAGTCCCCGTTCTTTTCCTGGACACTCGCTGGGGGATTGCTCTGCCCTGGCTCCTTGACGTGAGGTGTGGCCAGGAGCACAACTGAGGAGACCTAAAGAGCAGAGACCTGAGTCCCTTTGGGGTTAGAAGCTTTATGCGGTGGTGAGCGACTCGCCACCTATTTCTCTCTCTCTCTCTCTCTCTCTCTCTCTCTCTCTCTCTCTCTCTCTCTGTGCCAGGATGTCCGGCAGGGCTCCAGAGGGGAGACCGTTTCCTCAGCCGGCTTGGCAGTGCTGGGTGCCCCCGTGAGTCTACGTGAGTGAATGAGAAACGATCTTGTCTAAAGTCACTGAGAATCATGGTTGTGCAGGCTGGCAGACCTTGCCCAGACTGGCAAGGGTGTTGCAAGGGCAATGACGATGGGGAAGGGAATTTTGTCAACTCTGAGGCGTGCGGTTGAGAGAGAGAGAGAGGTGGGGTGAGGGGGGAGGGAGAGAGAGACAGAGAGGGGAAGGAAGAGAGAGAGAGGGGGAGAGAGACACACACAGAGACAGAGAGGGGGGAGAGAGAGAGGGAGAGAGAGAGAGGCAGGGAGAGAGACAGGGAGAAAGGGAGAGAGGGACAGAGAGACAAAGAGAAAGGGGGAGAGAAATAGTGGGAGGAGACAGAGACAGGAGAGACAGAGAGGGGGAGAAAGGGAAGGGGGTGGAGAGAGAGAGAGAGAGACAGAGAGAGGTTCCCACTTACTTCTTCTTGGGGAGGCGGCCATCTTCCAGCAGGAGGGCCCAGATCTGATGCGTCCCGGCCATGGCGATCCAGAGAACGTCATCCTTCTGGGGCTCTGAACCTGTAGAGCAAAGAAACCCAGTTATCGTGAGGACGCCCGGCTGACAGAAACACTTGGACCGCTTCAGGAGCTGCCAGCCAGGGAGGGCAGCAGTAAGTTAATAGGTTGCTGCGGAGAAGAAAATACAGTGTTGAGAGCTGCTTTTGAAAACTGTCCATTTTCCATGCAAAGTGATGACCTTTCTAAGACTTAAACTATTTACTGTCACGATTTCCACTGCAATCTAAAGGACGCCCCTCTGTATCCCTTGGCACAGTATCTTTAAATATTTGACTCCTTTATGTGACAAGGAGAATGAGCGGGCGCATTTCCAAAGGAATTCTGCCTGTAAAATACCTCGCACCAACCACCCAAATGGCATGCCGGCTCTTTGAGCAAACAGGGGGTCTTTCGATAGCTTAAGAAATGTCTAGTTCCACCATTTGCTTTTAGATTGAGACACACGTCACGTCTTTACTCTCTGCAAAAGACAGAGATGACAAGCAAAAAATAAATAGATAAAATAGCTGAGTATGCTGTAAATCACAACACAGCAGTTTACTCAAATTTATGATCGTTCTCTTTTTATAGACTAATGTTACAAACTATTACAAAGTGACATTAGCACTTCTCAGATGAATTCTATTGAGATACCAAATTATTTTCATGTCAGCTACTGTAAGGTTACCTTCGCACATAATCAAGACATTTCAATTACAAAAATTTGGCCAGGCATTATCGTCTGCTGAAAACAAAACAAAACAAAGCAAAACTCTGCTAAGGGGATTTTATTTGTATGTTCCTTAAATTCCAGTCAGCGGTTTCCAGAGGACATTTTTCTTCCTTGACTATGGTCAGGTCCATCCTCCAGAGGCTTTGTGACTTTCCAGGGCCACCAAGGCAAGACACAAAGGATTGGGAAGCTGAGCCTGATAATGACAGAACAGCTGGGTCATGTGTCGTCTCTTTCTGCTTTCCTATCACACTGGAAGGAGTCAGTCCACCAGCTCTTCCACGGGCCAGTATTTTTATGAACGTGAACAGTATTACAAAGAACATGGACATCCGGGTAGTCTAGAGACGTGGTCTCTGCCGAGTCAGCGGCTTTCCATAATTAGTCTGCTTCGGTTTCATCCCCACCAAGTGAAGTCACTGTCAAGGGCACGTTCGAAAAGCCAGGCAAGTGAAAGCTGGCTCCAGGAACCACCGACGAGAGGCTCCCAGACCCTGCGCCCCCAGCTGCCAGACGCAGGAGATGAAGCCCACCCTGGCAGCGGAAGCCTCGTTGAGTGCTGTCCTCTGCGAAGGCAGCTGAGGCCAAGCTGTAGCTCCCTCCCCAAGAACGGAAGTGGGACAGGGACATTTCTGCCATCAAGCAGATTAGACATTAAACTGCAATGATCAGAAAATGACATTTGAAGACTTCTGCTATGCTGAAGGAGAGTTGTACTAGGATATAGCTGAGTGAAAGACCCAATCACGTCTCCACCAACTTGTCCTTTGAGTAAGCCAGTCCATGGGCCAGAGCAACTATAGCCAGTAGGGTGCTTGCCTTGCACGCAGACAACCCTGGCATCCCATACGGTCCCTCAAGTTCAATCCCTGGCATCCCACATGGTACCCCAAGCACCGCCAGGAGTGATTCCTGAGTGCAGAGCCAGGAGCAACCCCTGAACATCGCCAGGTGTGGCCCCCCCCAAACTAAATAAACCAGTGCAGTTCCCTGTGGTCTGACTGTGAAGGCAGCCACTGTTGAGTGGTGGTTGGGGGGTACTGCTCCTTCCTTCAGAAGCCCGGGGCACTCGGAAAAGCAGAGAAACAGAGGCTGGGGCAGGTCACAGGTGTGTGAGGCTCGACACACCAAGCAACGCAGACCAGGCTGGCCGATGAGTGCATCAGTCATGTTCAAGGCACTAAGCTAAAAGCACTCTACCAATTCCTTTAATAGCCTGAGCAAGCATCACGGTCACCCCTATTAGATAAGGAAACTGAAACTTTAAAGAGGCGAAACCATTCACTGAAACGTACACAGCTGCACCTGGCCCAGGTGCTGCATCCAGGCAGTGGGCAGATCTGAGTGAAGGACTCCAGCTGAGAACTGTAAGCTGAGCCTCTCCTTTCCCCTGCCCCTCCCCCACCTGCCTCTGTCCTGAAGCCTTCTTGGCCCTGGCACCAAGGATCAGAGCACATTCCCAGGTGTCTCAGAAAGAGGGATCTGATGGGAAGGATGAGGGCTGCCCACGCCAGGAGTTGTGAAGCCAGGCTCCCTCCTTCTGCCCTTCCTTGCAGCCTCTGAAATAGTCTATGGCTGAATAAGCCCTTGTCACTGTTTTTCTCGAGTCCCTTGCTTTTCCATGTTTGGTTTGGTTCAGCTGATCAACATCTCAGGATGACTTTTATGTTGAGACTCTCACACAGCAAACACTTTTATAGGTCTGTGTGTGGTTCTTAGTGCCATTCATACGCTAATTCTTGCGATTCTCCAACATGGGGGTGAGGTGGGGGGAAGTAGTTCCTATCTTCAATTTAGGTGACAAAAACAGAGGCAGAGGAGGATTACACAGTCCCACCACCACTAAGAGGTAAAACCCAAAGGCTGTGGCCGCAGAGTGCTTCTAACTGCCGTTCCATCGCATCACTCTGACCCTGCCACCTTTCACTAGGGCGGTGGAATCTGTTCATGAGAAAAAACTGGGGTTTTAATAAAGGCAAGTCTGGCACATACAATGTCTATCAAACTAACAACAGAGTGATAATTTATACTGTTCATTCTGAATTTTGAAATCTAAAGCACACAGTTCTATCACCGAGGATAATAGTTTTGTTCTTCCTAGTAAGAATCAGGCAATCACAAACATTTGAAATTAGAAGTGCACATACTATCACTGACTCTCAGTAGGCACAAATGAAAAATTAAATAAATAAACAAATAGAAAAATAGATAAAAAAACAGTGCCAAAGCCCAAAAGGTTTTGGAAGCATTTTAAAAAGCAAAATCCTCACAATTATCAGTGAGGATTAGTGAAATAGTTTCAGAAGGCAGGAATAACAACCAGCAAATGAAATATAAAATGAATAGAAAATTACCTGCAATCCAGCTTTTAAATATCACGTTACTTTAAGCTACTATGATCAAAATAAATCCCACTGACTCTTAAGAGCATCTGTGAAATTTTCCATTAGCGTAATAGGTTTTTTTTTTCCCTACACAATTTCTAACCCCTGAAGCCTGCTACTCTTGGGGTTCAGGCTTTGGCCTGCACGTGGTCATCCAGGTTTGTTCCCCACATTATGGTCCTCTGGACACTGTCAGGACTGAACCCTGAGCACACAGCAAGAGTAGGCCCAAGCCCCCAACCAAAAGTAAGTAAATACATACAATAAAGTCCAGACCGAGCCCAATTCTTGATAAACCGGGTCAACCTCCCATAATCCTGGCAGCCGTTACAGTTCTCCACAAGATGACTCACATGGAATAAAAAATGAGAAGATGCACATAAAAGTAAGCAAAACCAAACATACCCTCCAGACATATCAAACTGCTGAAAACCAAAGAGAAAATCTTGGGGGCAGGGTTACGGGGTTGGTGAGTGGAGAAAGGGAATACTCTATGTCTGAACAATCAGAAAACAAACAAACAAAAAAAAAAAACAAACGAGAGACTCTTTAATTAAATTAAAGCACTGAAAGGAAATGGAAAAGTCAATCCAGATTTCTATCTGGGAGAGGAAAATGAAGCACCTTTTCATGTCAGTGCTGCAAAGTGAGCATGTTTGGATCCCAACCCGACAGGTGAGAAAGTGACATGTGAGTCCCCCAGGCAGAAGCTCTGTCATCTCAGACACTCAGAACCCCAAGGAATAGTCACTTTGGAAACTGACAGTTTCTTTTAAAATTACACACACATACTAACCAGGATGACACCAATTTCATTCCTAGGTATTCCCCCCTCCCCCCCCGCCCATCCCTGCTCCCTTTTTTAATTGCCCAAGAAAAAGAAATTCCCCTGTTCACAGTAAAATATATACAGGATGACTCTCTAAGCTGAAGGAAAGGAGTCAGACCTATGAGGCCAGAACGAGACTAGGGCTAAGGAACAAAAAGTAGATCCCTGCTGCCGTGGGTGGCGGAAGAGAATTTGGTGGGGTGACTGAGCTATTCTTTCCACACCTTGGATGTAGACAGTGTTACAAGGCTTTGTTTTGCTTATTAAAATTCACAGAACTTAACCCTAATAAGGTTGAAGTTTTCTTTGTGTAAATTTTGGAAATACAATCATTTTTTATGCTAACAAAATACACTGTATGTGACAAATTCCTCAAATAAATATTGTCTTTAGAAGCTGAATATCTTATGGTATTTTACAGAGTACTAATGGAAGTCACAGAAGCTCATTATCTAAGCATATAAGTACCAAGACAGCAGATTATCGGGCTGGCCGGCATTTCAATCACTAAAAGTAGTATAAGAACAGCTAAATCTACATAAATGCTGACCAGAGAAGGTTGAATTTGGACACACTGTCCTTCACAAAAGTTTTTTCCTTTTTTTTTTTAAATAATGATTCTGAATGATGTAAAGCCTAAGGCACTTTGAAAAACTAGTAGTTTTTTTACTATTGTGATAGAAAAATCTCTCAGACCATTTCTTTCTAGCATGAATGGAATCTGTTACAGATTTGATATAAATCTTAGAAACACAGCTATGCTTCTGCTCAAAAGAATGAATTTATTGGTAGTGAGCAACTGTTTTTAGTGCAGCAGAAAGCCTCTATGTAGAGTGATAATCCAAAGTGAACAAACAGGGAATGATCATTTTTGTACAAATTGCTTTATTTTTGTTCTTTTATGGCTGTAATGGCATAATCAGACTACTCATTCATGAAATATGCAATACATGTTTTTGCATATTACGTGTATAATGAAAACAATCAGCGGTATTTCAAGTCTACTTTCCTAATTTCTTCTTTAAGTAGGCTGTTTGTTAATCTGGTCTCTTGGTAGGATAGTCTCTTACTAGAG